TTTTTTAAAAATAAATGGCCTTGCCTGCCCCCTTCTATGCATATATAGCTGTTACTGGACCATTTAAAACCATTCTGCTTAATTTCATGCAATAGTTTCAACCAGAGAATTTGACATTTTTGTAAGGTTATAGCCTTGCTTTTTTCGAAAAATCTTCGGCCTTAAAAAGTTCAATTTTTTTACAAATAAATAGCCTTAACTGCCCCCTTCTATGCATATATAGTTGTTTCTGGATCATTTAAAACCTTTCTGCTTAATTTCATGCAATAATTTCAACCGGAGAATTTGACATTTTTGTAAGGTTATAGCCTTGCTTTTTTCGAAAAATCTTGGGCCCTAAAAAGTTCCATTTTTTTTAAAAATAAATGGCCTTGCCTGCTCCCTTCTATGCATATATAGTTGTTTCTGGATCATTTAAAACCATTCTCCTTAATTTCATGGAATAATTTCAACCGGAGAATTTGACATTTTCGTAGGGTTATAGCCTTGCTTTTTTCGAAAAATCTTGGGCCCTAAAAAGTTCCATTTTTTTTAAAAATAAATGGCCTTGCCTGCTCCCTTCTATGCATATATAGTTGTTTCTGGATCATTTAAAACCATTCTCCTTAATTTCATGGAATAATTTCAACCGGAGAATTTGACATTTTCGTAGGGTTATAGCCTTGCTTTTTTCGAAAAATCTTGGGCCCTAAAAAGTTCCATTTTTTTTAAAAATAAATGGCCTTGCCTGCCCCCTTCTATGCATATATAGCTGTTACTGGACCATTTAAAACCATTCTGCTTAATTTCATGCAATAGTTTCAACCAGAGAATTTGACATTTTTGTAAGGTTATAGCCTCACTTCTTCGAAAAATCTGCAACCCTAATAGTTCCACTTTTGACCAATAAATACCCTTTCATCCTATGCTGCCCATTGTCATGCATAATCGGTGTTTGTTGGATCGTGTAGAGAAATTCATGCTTGATGTTGATGCAAAGCGGCGCAGGAAAATTTGTTTGTCTTAAATGTTTCAATTTTGACAAATACACACCCTTGACTGGCCACCCTTAGCAGGGAGATATTGTGAAAATTATAACTGAAGTTAGGTGACATTTTTACTCTCTTTTCACGATGGTTCTTTCCACAAGACAATGTACGAACATTTATTGCAATTCGTCTTTTAAAATACCGTATATAAAGGTAGAGAGAAAAATTAACCAAAAAATTTGACGTTCCTCCGAATGATGTAGCCGTTTTAAGGCATTAGAAAAAGTAAATGTACAACCAACATAATTAATACTACCACTAAAATATAGTTCTACTACCAAAACAATTAAATACATCAAAATTATATCTAAACAGTAAATATTGTTTAGGGTCTAGTAAACTGTGCAAATTTACTGTGAATGCATTTTCGCACATAAGTCCTCACTCTATCAGAGAACGTTTGTCATAGTCAAGATTAAAAGCGTATAATTGGAAAATGTAGAAATGCGTCGTTTAGAATCAGCACAAAAGTACAACAAAGCGAACCAAAGTTACAGCCTCATCTGGTGGTATGGGAAAGAGGCTCTAAAGACGAGTACAGGTATATCACAACATTCACATAGACTATTTTTCCTTCTTTCAATGCATACAGCAATAAATATTTCCGTAGATTTCACTTCATATCCACATACAGCCAGAGTAAAACTCGCTGCAGATGTAAATAGCTGCTATGAAACCGCACCTCTAGGCAATCCAAGCGACTAACCCGAGATCTAGAGTTTGGTGTCATTCAGAGGACATACTGACTCAAGGTAGGGAAACTAAAAACTGTTCTTTCTTGTCTTCCTGAACTTAAAATTTTATTTAAAAAAACAAAATAATAGAATCACACGTCTTCTTTACTGAATTCTTCTCTCAAATTCTAAATATTTTGGAGATGAAGTATACCTTTGTTCGCAAGTTTGAAAGGAAAGGTCCTTTGACAAAAAATGGCTACAGGACAGAGGATAAAAATCTTAAATTTCAGCAGCAACGTGTTTATTCTTTCACTAATATATCACAACAGAAAGCAAACAAGGGTCAAAAATTTAAAAGACACATTTGATGATTGGCTCAAAACCATCAAAATATTTTAAAATACATTCGCTGTGATCATAAGACAAAGGAAATCTTTCATAGTCAAAATAACAGATAAGTCAAAAATTTATTTATAAAACTTTCACTCTTGTAGTGACGATGCAACAAAACCATAATTTAAACTAAAAATGGTCGTGAAGATGTTGAAGAAGGCTACAGTCTCGTTCTCGTCGGTGCCTCGGTTTTAATTCGGTAAAGATGATAGAAAGCTTGAAAAACTGGCGCGAAAGCGTGGAACGGAATAATTATACTTCAGCAAGAAGCATTTTTTAGATCATTAAGATGCATGTTGCAGACGTACAGTTCTTCATCTTAGCCCATAAACTGCCACATATAACTAAGTCATTTATAGGAAAAGCATTAATGCCACTTTCTTTAAAATAACAGTCCACTCGAGTCCATGACGCAACCAAATATCACATCAACATGTGCAAATAACGATTACATTAGTAACCTTATCTCTTGTGCAATCAACGGAAAATGAACATGCAGGGTCGTTCGGTTGGAGACCACAAAATAATTTGGATATCTATTTATGATAACTCTTTGTAGTATATATATAACCAGTTTTCACACGAACAGATTTCTGGTCAGTCCTCTAGCTTTGCGATATATTTGTGTATACTAGCTGAAGTAAGTAGAAGAGAAAATCTAGCCACCAGATTGATGGCTAAGATAAAGTCACCGTTTCAAAAACTAAATTCAGTAGGCTCTTTTTGTAATTACTTTTCACTGCACCAGATCATTTCTTTTTGTGAGGTTTCTTTTGGAACATTTTCTTGAAACTTCTCTGCTTTTTCACCTTCTTTCGATCATGATCCTCATCGCCTCCTTCATCATCAGATCTCTGTGAGCTATGTTGGCTTGCAGGGCTGCCCGGAGCTCTCAACAACTCATCGTGGTTTTTGGCTACTTCAGTTGGTACAGGTTCGTGTTTCACTGCAGATTTAACAGTATCAAATGCTTTTATGTTCTTACTAACACTGAACGCGGTGCCTTAAATGCAGCTTTGTGGTTACCCTCAAGTAAGTTTATTTGGCTAATCTATGTTACTTTTTTACATAATGAAAGAATTAACCTAGTTTTTGACAATCTAAGGAAAAACCATTCATCAGGTTTCAGCGTGATATTCTGCATAAACACATCGGTGAAACATAAATCTGGCTTTACTCTTGTTTTACCAGATCATGTGGTTGTCAATTTTGTTTATAGATAGTGAGGTTTCCCTGGCACTTTTAGGGCATGTTTTTACCTGTTGATGCTGATGCCTCGAAACAATAAATCGTATCACAATAGGTATCAACCCATCAATTAAGTAGTAGAATAGTAAATTAAATATATCAAACAATACAATTTGATACATCGCCTATAAATTGTAAAGATAAAAGTAGCCGTTTATAGTCGGTTATTTCTTGTAGAGAACTAATGGACCAAGAACAGATCCTTGCAGAAAGGTAGCAACTAAGCCTTCCGCGAATCTTTCCTTTGAAGTCATAATATGTTGTAGTTTGTACAAACGCCGATATTTATCTATTGTATCAAATGCTTATGTTAGGTCACACAAAAACTTCTATTCAATAGTCGTTTAAGTCGAGTTCGTGTTTTGGGCGGCTATATAAATATAGAAGGTACCTATCGAAAGAAGGTACACATTGACGAATTGCGAATTTCCTCCTATCTGTTTAGCCAAAGTGAACAATGGCTTTGAAAAAAGCAAACATTTTGAGTCATACTTAAGCTTTTCGTCTGACACTCTTCAGTGAAACGTAGAGAATGGCTTTGACACCCAACGTAAACAAGTAGTACTATTCGTTTATGGTGAATGAGTGAGTTGCAAAAGGAATGTAATTGGTGAAAGTAATCGTAGGTCGGCAGGTAAAGGACATAGAAAGAAAAGCAACTACCTAGAAGAGAAAACAACAGTAGGCGGATAAAAGACGAATTTTGGACACTTTAAGGCGAAAAAAGCGTATTTGATGAAGCCTACAACACCAGGTGTTCCCAGGCGGGAATACTATGCCTGCCCCTACTATGCTTAACTTCGGTGATCTGACGAGAACCGGTGGATTCATGGTGATATGGCCGTAGGCGACGAAGAGGGAGGAGAGCTGGCTAGTCGTACCTCAGAGTGAGACGGCTTCTCCAACAAAAAAGATGGAGAGAAATTGTAAGGCTGAAATTAAATATACAGGAATTAATGGAAACTTTCCCTCTTCCTGCTTGAACCTCCAGCCTGTTCTGCTTTGGATGGCGAGAGCAGAACTGCTTCTTGAAAATAGCTACATATAATTACAAGTTGGTTAGAAGGTTTTGGTAGGTCGGGTTTCGTAAATTCATTTGACCAGTTCGTAATAAACTAGAATACACAATTGCATTGAAATACGAAACTGATCCAGGTTAAAATCGAAAGAAGGTACTGTAGTGTTTTATAGTTACTTTTATTATAATGTCCATTGTAAGACCCCTGTGAAAAAAGGGTAGAATGGAAGACGGGTTTCTTGGAGAGGATCTCAAGGTAATCGAAGATGAAAATGTCTGATGTCTTTTGGTAGTAATCGATGTCTACAATCTTTTCTTTCCCTGGATAGCCTGGGGAATAATGAATCGTATCAAAAGAGAAATAACTCACCATTTTCCTCAATATTAATAGAAATTTCCTTTTGTTCTGCATGACCATCTTCCTTATCAACAACAACGAATCCGCTATCAATAACACTAGAGAATGCCGTGTCATTGCCATCCACCAGAATTTGGCTATCCTCGATCACCTGCTCTTTACCTTGAATAACCGTCACCACTTTCCTCTTGACCGTCGTGATGGTTCCACCCTCGACAGTTTCTGTTACCTCGGTAACTTCTGTCTCTCTCATGTCAACATTGTTTTCTGACCCGCTTCGGGTGATCTCCTTCCTGACTGTATGTAGCTGATTGTGACTTTCCTCCGTTTTTACCTAAAAATGTCGAGCATTCAAATTACACTCAGTAGAAACGGTATACGCAATAGAAAAAAGGACGCATGATCCTAAAACTGGATGACCGTTTATCGTTACAAAACTTAATTTTAAGCAATCTTCCCACGGATTGCTAGCATATTTTTTGCAATTATCTTCCATACTAGAAACTCTCGACCTTCCCACATTGAAAAAATCTTGATAAAAAACCAAGTGTTTCAAAGTTACTGGAAGTTGACAAAAAAACAGCAGTGGAGGCAAGAATGATGAGGGGGTGGGGGGGGGGTTAATATGATCCCAGGCAAAAGAACAAATTGAAATTTTTCTTGAGGAATTCTTTGCGCCTTCCTGTTACCAAATTGTTGTGTTATTATAATTTTTTCAACAGGGAATGTAACAGAATTGAAGACAAAAGAGAAAACCTTCAACGTGAAAGTCAGATTCTAATAATCTGAAGACAGTTGGCTGTAAAAGCAGAAAGTTGGCGACTGTAGCAATTGATGAGACACGTCTATGAAGTGACTTTTAGCGACTCTGTAATACCTAAAGAAATCCATCCAATTTCATATGATTCCAGTAGTTTATTGAAATTTCAGTCGCCCATTGAGGTTAGAACATACGCTATTTGGTGTATAGTACAGGACGGTTCTCAGTTGCTACCGAGTTTCATGCTTAATGCGATCATCAGGTAATTAACTGTTCTGTTAGGCGTAGTTTAGACAGCGCTTTATGGGCGCAGCGAATTAAATTATTGACCATAAAATATTGTGAGTGTCAATTTAATGCGCTCTTAATTCGGTGACTAAATCCGAGAGCGAAGCAAATAATTTAATTCGCTCATAATGCGCTCACTTGGGCGCATTATCAGCGCGTTATGAATCAAAATATGAATAAATTCAATTCGCTTCGCTGTCTAAAAGCAAACAATAAATTGAAGCGCTC